AATAAACAATCCTATAAGTCATAGCTATGAGTATCAAGAAAAAATCACCGGAAGCAATACTGGCACTTTATAGTCCACATGTCAGAGAATTTCCACAATATTCTACTCAGTTACGGTTCCCGAATTAAATAAGAAAGGTAAAGGAACCAGGAAAGTCTGTAGGTATGGCTACCAAACTCTCAGCTCTGTTAAGAAACAACCTTACGACTTAATACACATAATTGAATGTTCCGAGCAGATCTGTTTCAAACTGGTTTGATGCTCAGCAACTTTGACATCCAGACAAAAAGCTCCAAAGTGTTAAGAGCTTCATTAACCGGTATTACCAACACTTTCTCATACTTGGCAAGTGCTTCTCACACCTGGCAGGTCCTTCTTATACTTGGCAAGTGCTTCTCATACCTGGCAGGTCCTTCTTATACTTGGCAAGTGCTTCTCACACCTGGCAGGTCCTTCTTATACTTGGCAAGTGCTTCTCATACCTGGCAGGTCCTTCTTATACTTGGCAGGTGCTTCTCACACCTGGCAGGTCCCTCTTATACTTGGCAAGTGCTTCTCACACCTGGCAGGTCCTTCTTATACTTGGCAGGTGCTTCTCACACCTGGCAGGTCCCTCTTATACTTGGCAAGTGCTTCTCACACCTGGCAGGTCCTTCTTATACTTGGCAGGTGCTTCTCACACCTGGCAGGTCCCTCTTATACTTGGCAAGTGCTTCTCACACCTGGCAGGTCCCTCTTATACTTGGCAAGTGCTTCTCACACCTGGCAGGTCCTTCTTATACTTGGCAAGTGCTTCTCACACCTGGCAGGTCCTTCTTATACTTTGCAAGTGCTTCTCACACCTGGCAGGTCCTTCTTATACTTGGCAAGTGCTTCTCACACCTGGCAGGTCCTTCTTATACTTGGCAAGTGCTTCTCACACCTGGCAGGTCCTTCTTATACTTGGCAAGTGCTTCTCATACCTGGCAGGTCCTTCTTATACTTGACAGGTTCTTCTCATACTTGACAGGTTATTCTCATACTTGACAGGTTCTTCTCATACTTGACAAGTTCCTCTGATACTTGTCAGGTTCTTCTCATACTTGACAGGTTCTTCTCATACTTGACAGGTTCTTCTCATACTTGACAAGTTCCTCTGATACTTGACAGGTTCTTCTCATACTTGACAGGTTCTTCTCATACTTGAAAAGTTCCTCTGATATTTGACAGGTTCTTCTCATACTTGACAGGTTCTTCTCATACTTTACAGGTTCTTCTCATACTTGACAAGTACTTCTGATACTTGACAGGTTCTTCTCATACCCTCCATATATGTATTTCAAGTGATTTGCTTATCATGTTACATGCTAGTTATAAGGAAGAGGTGGAGGGTGAGAAGAGAGCCTTCAGCTATATATAACAGACTAAACTCAGATTGTCCTTTTGTCATCAGGCAGCTTCATTATGGTCTGATAACATTGTGGAACCTTCCTGCTCTACTTCTTCCTTATTATACTGTGTGTGTGTGTGTGTGTGTGTGTGTGTGTGTGTGTGTGTGTGTGTGTGTGTGTGTGTGTGTGTGTGTGCGTGTGTGTGTGTGTGGTGTGTGTGGTGTGTGTGTGTGTGTGTGTGTGTGTGTGTGTGTGTGTGTGTGTGTGTGTGCGTGTGTGTGTGTGTGCGTGTGTGTGTGTGTGTGTGTGTGTGTGGTGTGTGTGTGTGTGCGTGCGTGGTGTGTGTGTGTGTGTGTGTGTGTGTGTGTGTGTGTGTGTGTGTGTGTGTGTGTGTGTGTGTGTGTGTGCGTGTGTGTGTGTGTGTGTGTGTGTGTGTGTGTGTGTGTGTGGTGTGCGTGTGTGTGTGTGTGTGTGTGTGCGTGTGTGTGTGTGCGTGTGTGTGTGTGTGTGTGTACTCACCTATTTGTACTCACCTATTTGTGGTTGCAGGGGTCGAGTCCTAGCTCCTGGCCCCGCCTCTTCACCGGTTGCTACTAGGCCCTCTCTCTCCCCGCTCCATGAGCTTTATCAAACCTCGTCTTAAAACTGTGTATGGTTCCTGCCTCCACTACGTCATTTTCTAGGCTATTCCACTGCCTTACAACTCTATGACTGAAGAAATACTTCCTACTATCTCTCTGACTCATTTGTGTCTTCAACTTCCAATTGTGGCCTCTTGTTTCTGTGTCCCCTCCCTGGAACATCCTGTCCTTGTCCACCTTGTCTATTCCACGCAGTATTTTATATGTCGTTATCATGTCTCCCCTGACCCTCCTGTCCTCCAGTGTCGTCAGGCCGATTTCCCTTAATCTTTCTTCATAGGACATTCCCCTTAGCTCTGGAACTAACCTTGTTGCAAACCTTTGTACTTTCTCTAGTTTCTTGACGTGCTTTATCAAGTGCGGGTTCCAAACAGGTGCTGCATACTCCAGTATGGGCCTGACATACACGGTGTACAGTGTCTTGAATGACTCCTTACTAAGGTATCGGAATGCTGTTCTCAGGTTTGCCAGGCGTCCATATGCTGCAGCAGTTATCTGATTGATGTGTGCTTCCGGAGACATGCTCGGTGTTATACTCACCCCAAGATCTTTCTCCTTGAGTGAGGTTTGCAGTCTTTGGCCACCTAGCCTATACTCTGTCTGTGGTCTTCTGTGCCCTTCCCCTATCTTCATGACTTTGCATTTGGCAGGATTAAATTCGAGAAGCCATTTGCTGGACCAGGTGTCCAGTCTGTCCAGGTCTCTTTGAAGTCCTGCCTGGTCCTCATCAGATTTAATTCTCCTCATTAACTTTACATCATCTGCAAACAGGGACACTTCTGAGTCTAACCCTTCCGTCATGTCGTTCACATATACCAAAAATAGCACTGGTCCTAGGACCGACCCCTGTGGGACCCCGCTCGTCACAGGTGCCCACTGTGATACATCATTACGTACCATGACTCGTTGTTGCCTCCCTGTCAGGTATTCTCTGATCCATTGCAGTGCCCTTCCTGTTATATGCGCCTGATGCTCTAGCTTCTGCACTAATCTCTTGTGAGGAACTGTGTCAAAGGCCTTCTTGCAGTCCAAGAAGATGCAATCAACCCACCCCTCTCTCTCTTGTCTTACTTCTGTTATTTTATCATAAAACTCCAGAAGGTTTGTGACACAGGATTTGCCTTCCGTGCGTGTGTGTGTGTGTGCGTGTGTGTGTGTGTGTGTGTGTGTGTGTGTGCGTGTGTGTGTGTGTCGTGTGGTGTGTGTGTGTGTGTGTGTGCGTGTGTGTGTGTGTGTGTGTGTGGCGTGGTGTGTGTGTGTGTGTGTGTGTGTGTGTGTGTGTGTGCGTGTGTGTGTGTGTGTGTGTGTGTGTGTGGTGTGTGTGTGTGTGTGTGTGTGTGTGTGTGTGTGTGTGTGTGTGTGTGTGTGTGTGTGTGTGTGTGTGCGTGCGAGCGTGTGTGCCCGCTGAATATTACATTCTAAGGTTTAATTAGTTCCGTATTTATAAAAAATAATTTGAAGAGGAGAAGGCCGGATGGTGGTTTATGTTCGAGCAAACTTGAAATGCAGAATAAAACCTGGTTTAGAGACTGTAGAATTCATAGAGGGACATGAAAGGTTGATATTAGGTGTGACATACTGACACCACATTGTAGTGAGTGACCAAGGGAGATTTCTTCAGGTGGAAATTGTGAAGACTTCGATAACAATGACGTGGTTCTCATAGAGATTTTATATCCATTCAGATTGACTTAAATTCTCTGACTGGTAATATAGGGTCAAATAACTCCCTAGAGTTAATCCTGGATCATTTATTGAAGCAGTTTATAAGAAAACTAACTATGGGATGTAAGCTGCTTAATACTATTCTGGAAAATAAGGAAACACTTGTTACATATCTGGAAATAACAGAGAAGCTTGTGTCACCGACTCGACGTCACACCAATTCCTACATATCGCTTAAGTCTGACATACGTGTTTTAAGAACATAAGAACATAAGAACGAAGGAACACTGCAGAAGGCCTACTGGCCCATGCGAGGCAGGTCCAAGTCTCCTACCGGCTTAAGCCAATGCACCCAACCTAGTCAGGTCAGGTCACATTGACTTAAGGGAGGAACACGGCAACCGACCTGGTAGCACAAGCTATCTGTCTAACTCACACCCACCCACATCTACTCATGTATTTATCCAACCTATTTTCAAAGCTACACAACGTTCTGGCCTCTATAACGGTACTTGGGAGTTTGTTCCACTCATCCACAACTCGTTTTCAGTTCTTCAGGGCGGTGTAACCCCTTCTCAAAAGACTGAAATGGTGGGGACTGAACCCATGTCGAGTGAGTTCTAAACCTCCAAGCCAGTACGTAAGCCACTGAGCTAGCTGGCTATGGGTTCGATCCACATTCGTTCCGTGGTTTGTTTGTAATCGCGTTATTACGATTTCGAGAGTCATAACCGTTCCCTCCTGTATCTTGCCACCATCCAGCACTTCCTCATCTTTTCTTCCCGTCTTTTTCCAGAGATAATTTAAACTTTTTTCCCACAATCAATCGATGATATTTTAAATTTCATCCAATGACATTTTCTTTTTCTGTCCACCAACATCCTGAGGTAAGTATAAAGAAAAAGGACACAAGTGCAACTAATGTGACATTTTTATTGTGGCAACGTTTCGCTCTCCAGGAGCTTTGTCCTTTTACTTTACATATTGTCGGTAAGTCTACCAACATTATTACAGATCCTGAGGTAACCTCCTCAGCTCCCATTCCTTTTTAATTGACCTTTTGTTTATCATTTCTTCACATGCTGAGTTTTGCCAGGTATAGTAACGTTCACTGCTGGTAACTACCATAGTCTGTGTGGTTGGTAGCTGTGTGTGTGTGTGTGTGTGTGTGTGTGTGTGTGTGTGTGTGTGAATAAGTGAGTGTGTGAATGAGTGTATATAATGTGCGAGTGTATATGTGGGTGGGAGTGCGTGAACGTGTGAATGTGCAGGCTGTTTCTCACTTATAGCCTACACTGAACTCTTTTCCATATTGTGTCCACAGGAGTTGGGACTCCGGCAATTACTCCTGCGTGCCGCCTAACGTGAAGCCTGCGTTTGTCCTTGTCTTCGTCACCGAGGGTAAGAGATGAGCTACTCTGGCAGATACAATGTTTTACCGCAGCTCAGCCTCCGCTCTATTGCTGCAAATTTTTGACATTCTCTCTCTATTTTTCTTTGTAAATTCTTTTAAACAGGTTATATGTAAAGATTTTATTGATTAGATTTTAACAAAATTTATTTTATTTTAAGGACTTATTGTGTAGAAAAGTTTTTTTTTCTAATATTCTCTTAAATATGCAAATATGTGGATAATATTTTCACTTTTTTTGATGATTATTATAACTTTAATGTTGATTAATATATATGGAACTCCACACTTTCTCGACGGTTCTGATGTAAATTACAACAGTTATTTTTTTAATCTAAAACACTTTCATATTCTTTGTATAAAACTCGTAATTTACACACACACACACATATATATATATATATTTGTATATATATTTGTATATATATATATATATATATATATATATATATATATAAATGTCGTGCCGAACATGTAAAACTGGTCAGTTAGCAAGAATTAATTTAAAATTAAGTCCTTTCTAAAATTTTGTCTTATACGTTTAAAGATATATATTTTTTCATTAATGTTAATGTAAAAAATTTTAATTTTGCTACAAAAGAATCTTAGAAAACTTACCTAACCTTATTATAACAAGAACATTTTATTTTAGCCTAACCCAATTAAATATATTTTAGATTTGTTTACAGTAATTTAATACTAAACAAACACAGTGAAATATATTTTTTTTCGTTAGGTTCAGAATGATTTTGGCGAAATTATTGCATACACAAATTTTTGCTTGTCCTATATGGCAAGATGAGCGTTGCTATTTTAAGCCAAGATCGCAAGTTCTGCCTGTTCGGCACGACATATATATATATATAATTATATATTACTATATATATATATATATATATATATATATAAATATACTATATATATATTATATATATTATTATATAAATATAATATATATTATATATAATATATATATATATTATATATTTATATATTATTAGTATGTAATATAATATAATATGAGTTATATATTAATATATATATAATATAGTATTATATATATTATAATATATATATATATATATATTTATATATAATATATATTATATATATATATATATATATATATATATATATATATATATATATATATATAATATATATATAATATATATATAATATATATATATATGTTAAGAATTATTAGCGTTTGTGAATGTAAAACTGTGTGTGTGAGTGTGTACTCATCTAGTTGTGGTTGAAGGGATCGATTCACAGCTCCTGGCCCCGCCTCTTCACTGGCTTCTTCTAGGCTACTCTTCCTGCTCTTTGAGCTTTATTATACCTCTTCTTAAAGCTAAGTATTGGTCCTGCCTCTACTACATCACTTCCCAGACTACTCCACTTCCTGACAACTCTGTGACTGAAGAAATACTTCCTAACATCACTGTGATTCATCTGAGTCTTCGACTTCCAACTGTGACCCCTTGTTGCTGTGTCCCATCTCTGGAACATCCTGTCTCTGTCCACCTTGTCGATTCCTCACAGTATTTTATTTGTTTTTATCATATCACCCCTAGCTCTCCTGTCCTCCAGTGTCGTCAGGTCGACTTTCCTTAATCTCTCCTCGTAAGACATGCACCTTAGCTCTTCCCTAATCTTCATGACTTTGCACTCGGTGCAGTTGAACTCCAGGAGCCAGTTGCTGGGTCAGGTCTGCAGCCTGTCCAGATCCCTTTGTAGTTCATGCCTGGTCCTAGTCCCATTGAATTCTTCTCATCAACTTCACATCATCTGCAAACAGGGACACTTAGGAGTGTACTCCTTCCGTCATGTCGTTCACAGATGCCAGAAACAGCACTGGTCCTAGGACTGACCCCTATGGAACCCCGCAGGTCACAGACGCCCACTCTGACACCTCGCCACGTACCATGACTCGTGTTGCCTTCCTGATAGGTATTCCTTGATCAATTGCAGTGCCTTCCCAGTTATCCCTGCCTGGTCCTCCAGGGGGTTTTGTAAGGGGGGAGAAGACAGGGAGAGGGAGGGAAGAGGACAGAGTAATGGAAAGGTGGAGAGAGAGTGGGAAGGTGGGTAGAGGGAGACGGATAGAGAGGGGGGAGGGAGGGAGGAAATAAAAGCGAGAGAGGGGGACTGTAGGGGAGAGGGAGAGAAAGGATCGAGATAGAGGGAAGGAAGAGAGGGAATGGCAAAAGGGAGAAGGGAGAGGGAGGAGGAGGAAGAGAAGGTGGAAAAGGAGGAGGAAGAGGAGTAGGAAGAGGTGTGTGTGTGTGTGTGTGTGTGTGTGTGTGTGTGTTGTGTGTGTGTGTGTGTGTGTGTGTGTGTGTGTGTTTTGAGTGGGCGTGTGGAGCGTGCGTGGCGTATGTGTGAGAGAGAGAAAGAGACAGACAGGCAGATAGGGAATGTATGTCCGTTGTGTGTGTATCTGTTGACAATTTTCGCCCCAATAACTGTCCAGACAGCAGGGAATGTAAGCCTCGAGCTCGTCTTTGCCACAGGAAATGCTGACAGTCATTTATTGCTGCGTGGAGTTTGAGGGGATTAATCTGACAAGGATAGAATGGGAAACGGTTCAGGATATAAACACTACAAATTTGATGCGCTTTAACGTAATAAACCATAAAGACAAAGAACATGTGAGAGATTGCTGGGAAAAGTTGAAGGAAGTGAATCATAATGAATTGACTAGCGAGTTCGTCTCGCAGATCAAGATCTGCTTTTTTGCGTAATGGGTCAATGTGCGTGACTGTATGTGAGTCACTATGCCTGACTATAATTCTAGGGATTGTGTGAGTCATGGTGTTTGTCTGTCGCATGAGAATGAGTGAAGGTGTCTGTCGTGTGAGCATAAGTATAGGTGTCTGTTTTGCGAGCATCAATGAAAGCGTCTGCCTGTCGGATGTAAGTTAATATGAATTAAGACATTTGACTCTCTTGTGTGAATTGCAATGTGTGAGAGTGGACATTGCATGGAATAAGAAAAAGGTTGTGACTTATTCACTCTTAATGCACTACATAGACAGTATTGGGCGAAAGAAAATGAAGATAGTTTTAGCTCATTCATGATATATTATTGCATATATTGTGTACGTATGCTTATATCAAATTGACACATAATGGACATGAATGGAGTTTTAGATTAAAATGTCATGAGACTGAGCAATGTGATACTTTGTTCATAAAAAATGTGTGTACATTGTGGAGAAAAATCTCCAGTAAAAGGGGTTGTATCTCTCAGTGCCCTTCAGCCCTCTGAGGGACTTAGCTCTCTCACAAAGGGCTAGTAGACTACGTTCAGCCCTCTGAGGGACTTAGCTCTCTCACAAAGGGCTAGTAGACTACGTTCAGCCCTCTGAGGGACTTAGCTCTCTCACAAAGGGCTAGTAGACTACGTTCAGCCCTCTGAGGGACTTAGCTCTCTCACAAAGGGCTAGTAAACTACGTTCAGCCCTCTGAGGGACTTACATCTCTCACAAAGGGCTAGTAGACTACGTTCAGCCCTCTGAGGGACTTAGCTCTCTCACAAAGGGCTAGTAGACTACGTTCAGCCCTCTGAGGGACTTACCTCTCTCACAAAGGGCTATGACTACGTTCAGCCCTCTGAGGGACTTAGCTCTCTCACAAAGGGCTAGTAGACTACGTTCAGCCCTCTGAGGGACTTACCTCTCTCACAAAGGGCTAGTAGACTACGTTCAGCCCTCTGAGGGACTTAGCTCTCTCACAAAGGGCTAGTAGACTATGTTCAGCCCTCTGAGGGACTTACCTCTCTCACAAAGGGCTAGTAGACTACGTTCAGCCCTCTGAGGGACTTAGCTCTCTCACAAAGGGCTAGTAGGCTACGTTCAGCCCTCTGAGGGACTTACCTCTCTCACAAAGGGCTAGTAGACTACGTTCAGCCCTCTGAAGGACTTAGCTCTCTCACAAAGGGCCAGTAGACTACGTTCAGCCCTCTGAGGGACTTACCTCTCTCACAAAGGGCTAGTAGACTACGTTCAGCCCTCTGAGGGACTTAGCTCTCTCACAAAGGGCTAGTAGACTACGTTCAGCCCTCTGAGGGACTTAGCTCTCTCACAAAGGGCCAGTAGACTACGTTCAGCCCTCTGAGGGACTTAGCTCTCTCACAAAGGGCCAGTAGACTACGTTCAGCCCTCTGAGGGACTTACCTCTCTCACAAAGGGCTAGTAGACTACGATTTCCTCGCACAACATTTTTTATTAAGAACAGATGTGCCTATCATAGCGTCTCCAGGTACGCCCTCTCCTTGCTAGAATTTCTGATCAACTACACAATGAGGGTTAAACGAGAGTAATTACTCTTACCCTTAGCAGGAAAATTAAGAGAAAACTTGTGCCCCATTTGGTATACAAGTCAGAGACATTATGACTTCTGGCCAACAGCTAAATAACTAGATATCTACTCTCCTTGCTAATTCTGACTGCACAGACTAGCAACGAGTGGATATAAAGCTGAAGTCAGCAATTTTCTTTGGGCGTAAGATGATCGAGAGCGAACAAGGGCAGCGAGGGCTCAGATTGCTTCACGGAATGGACGAGACGTGTGTGTTACGAGGGCATTGCCGTCTTATTGTTAAAATAGAAGGAACAATAGTGACTAGTGCGTTCTTGACACTTGTTCATTCTGACAATCTCAGGAAACTAGGAAAGTTAGACTAGTTCCCTAATATGAGTCAGGAAATTCGCGGTAGAACGAATCATGTAATGTTTATAGCGTCTTCGTGTGACTTTCTTGATTGAACATTGGAAGTGCTGAAATATACAGTGTTATTTAGTATTCTCCCTGTTGTGGATAATTCCACAAAACTGTAAACAAATGATGGTATTGAATAACGTAGTGTACAATCAGTGTTGCGAGTGATCGCAACGAGCATCCCCGACATTCGTAGCAAACATTAATGTAACTTTTCCCGAGACACTTTGTCAGTCTTATGTCAAGACACCAAAATCAGCCT